AAAGAAAAAAGTGAAAAAGAAAAAGGAAAAGAAAAAAAGAAAAAGAAGAAGAAGAAGAAGGAAAAGAAATGAAAGAATGCTCTTGGTCTGCCTGGTCGTGTTTCCATCACGAAAGATAAGGGACCGTTATGAGAGAGGACCACCTTCTTTCGTCCTTTACAAGTTATATCCTTCCTTATATGATGCAAGGTGCAATGAAGAAAATTCACGATCGATCGATCAAAATACAAGCTCTAAGCTTAATTCTTTTATCTGTCCCCATTGAAATCAAGAGTTTTGTTTATGAAGAAATCAAATATAATGGATCGATTATGAATTAATTTAAGATTTTCATTTGAATGTATTAAAGAAGAAAAAAAAGAGAAAAAAGAAAAAAGAAAAAAAGAAGTATATCATCATGTAAAAATTTAATTGGATAATCCTTTTTTATTTTTTCTTTTTTTTTTTTTTCTCATTATTTTTCGCATTACAATGAATACCTTCATTTGTATTATCGTGTGAAAAATAAATTAATTTTGTTTCTCTTCTTTTTATTTAGATATTATTACAATAAAACATATGAGAATCTAAATATAATTACACTAAATAATCAATTAATTCTTACTTTGAATTAATATATATGTATATTTAAAGACTATATATATATATATATATATATATATATATATATATATATATATATATATATATATTAGAAATTACATAAAATATATATTATATTTATTTACATTCTCTTATATGTATTTCAAATTAATATAAATATTTATTTATATATATTATAATATAATAAATATATATATATATATATATATATATATATACATATTAAAATAAATATTCAATTGACTATTAATATAATAATAATAATAATAATAATAATAATAATAATAATAATAATAATAATAATAATAATAAAAAGAAAAAGAAAAGAATTATATCGTAAGAAAAAAAATTCAGATATTTCGATGGAACTTATTAAATATATTAATTCACGAATTATTGTCAATAGTTATGTTAAAAGATAAGAGAACAGAAGGATAGACAGAATATATTCCATATAGTAGGATATTAAAAGATATATGTGGAGGGTAGAGAAGAGGAGAGGTAAGCTAAGAGGAGGGGTAGGTGGGCGGGGAGGGAGAAGAGGGAAAGGAAAAGATCGTTGCTCGTTCGTTGTACTCAGGCTGATCTGTCTGGTGCTTCGTTGTTGCCTTGGCTTCCTAGACAGATGGTCGCTTGGCCACATGTTACCTAACTGTAGGCAGTCTTTAAGTGCCATTGCCTTTACCGGTATCGTCACTCTCTCCTCTTCCTCTCAACGTTCGACAATACAACAGATAATACCTAGCTGACTTCACTAAAATACATATGTCATAAGTATATTAGCTTTTTTCAAGATCTATTGAATCGCAAAGGAATACTGAACTGTTATAAGTTCTTAGAATGATCATTGATTTTCAAACTCTACAATTCGTTCTAATATTCTATTCAATCTATTATCTCCTATGTGTGTATATATATATATATGTGTGTGTGTATGTGTGTATCTATGAGATTCTATTACATATTTGATATGAATGTTGAAAGTTATTACACATTTTGCTTCATTAGATTTTATAGATATATTAAAAAGTTACAAGTTGCTAAGTTGATTTTTTATTTGATTTTTTGATTTTTATTGATTTTTATTGTTGTTATTATCGTTCAAATATACTCGATTAATACCTAATAATGATATTTTATATTGATAATTAGGTATTAATTATTTTATTTTCGAAAAAATATTAAAATATTTAAGAGCTGTTAAAATGAGAATACATTTTCAGGTGATACAATTATATTTTAGTATTTTATTAAATATATTAGATTTGTCTGGTGCTAATATAATAAATATTTTATATTAATAGTTAATTATTATGTAATATATATATATATATATATATACATATATATATCAGCTAACGTGTATATTATATTTACCTAATAATGTAATTATATGTTTATAGTTAATTATAACAATGTTACATTTATTAATGAAATATAATTTAAATATGATATATATATATATATATATATATATATATAATAATAATAAAATCATTATAATATCAATAATATTTTATTTATATATAAAAAGAACAATTATTACTTCGTGGTTCATATATTAATTCAAAGCAATATCGACGATGATATGTATTTGCCATAAAAAAGAAAAAAAAAAAATAAAAAAGGAATAGAAAATAGAAGAAGAAAGTAAAAAGTAAAGAAGAAGAAATATAAAATGAAAAAAAAAAAAAAACGAAAGGAAAATTATTACATTGGGATGATCACGAAGTCGTTTGTCAAAGTGTATTTCATCCTTATATACATATATATATATATATATATATATACATATTATACCTATATCGTTATTCTAATCTTATCCTAAATATTCATATACAGAAAGAGAATGTGAGAGAAAGAGAGAAAGAAAGAATTTTTCATGTCGGTCACGCGATTTCTCTCGGTCGCGACGTTGGTCGAGATCTTCGGGGGTCTTAGCAACGATGTGAATCCACTTGAGAAACAATGTGACACGATCCATTAATCTTGTACGATAAAAGCAAGCAAGCAAGCAAGCAAGTAAGCAAGCTAGAGAAGCTATCGCGGTCAATTAAATCTTCTACGTGCCTCGCGTGTTTCGATCTCAAGGTAAAGGAAATCCGATTAAATATCGTTCGAAGAACAACCTTTCTTCTATAATGTTCTATGATACATATGTATATATATATATATATACATTCATATATACATATGTATATATAAAACAGTTTTTCGGACTCTTGTAATTTTAATTGACTCGAATTCTAAAGATATCTTTACTCAAAGGCTTATGTTTCATCCACAAAAGGAAAATGATCTTATCTAGATCAAAAAGAGAGAGAAAGAAAGAGAAAGAGAGAGAGAGAGAGAGAGAGAGAGGACTTATTTCGATTTATAAGTCATACTTAAAATAGACTTCGTCCGAAGTTGTTTATCACGAATGAACCTTATCTGAATTTAACGCTGTCAGAATCTACAATCATTTATTAACTTCTTCATGATTCTACTATAACAGTTACAAGGCACCAAGTGAAATCGTTATCATGTTCAAATCGACCTCGTTGAATCGTAAGAATCGCATTATTTTCACTTTCAATCGTTCATAAAATCCTTGTAGATATTTTTAAACTCAATGCATATTTTAATTGACATTATTATTGTTAGTCGATTGTTTGAAACTAATCCTACTGTATCTCTTCGATATTCTTAACATCTCAAAATGATATTTTAAAATCATTATTATTCTAATTTGATTATTTACGATATATTAGATAATTCGATAAAATTGTAAAGATTGTTTTTTCTTTCTTTTTTCTTTTTTTCTTTTCTTTTTTTTAAGACTATCTTAGAATCATTAGCTTACAAAATAATGCTATTATATTAATAATAAAAATAAATTAATTAATTTATTAATTTATTAATGTTAATTATCATTCGTAATTTTAGATGAATTTTATTTGAAAACTTTGTATTAAATTTTGATGAGAAAACGACAATACTATCAAAAGTTATTCTGTAAAGAAGTAAATTTGAATGCCGATTTGAATCTTTATATATGATAATTTAAAAAAAAAAAAAATTAAATTGAAAGAAATTAAATTTTGTTTCTCTTCAAACTCACTACTTAAGAAATTCTGCTCCAAAACACTCGTCTATGTTGTAAATTGATCTTATGATAGGTTCATTCATAATAGATTAAAAACAAGATGGATAAATACAATATTACAATAGATCCACAGCATAATAAATAAAGTTAACATATTGTGATCACAATGATGATCTGAGGAAAAGAAAAATATAATAAAATGATTGTTTCATTTGTTGTAATAAAATATTGTAAAATGATCGATTTAATTAAAATTAAATAAAAAAATTTAATTATCTTTATACTCTCTCTATCTCTCTCTCTCTCTCACTCTCACTCTCTCTTTCTCTCTCTTATAAATGTAATAATAAACATATTACAAATACAATATTAAATTAATTACAATCGAATTAAATAAATAAGATTAAAAATGTTCTGTATAATGATTTGTATAAAAATGATTTGTATATTGTAACAGTTGGTACATTAGAAATAATATTGTTAATTACTTGTAAGGACGAAATCGTCAGTAATTAAGAAATTTAAAATGGTTGTGACATCACCAATGCTAATTCATCACGAAACTAAACAAAGAAGGTCATTGTCCCCTTTCATATTGGGTGCCAACAAAATAATTATTTGTGAATTTTTTTTCACACACATACACACACACACACATATATATATATAAATTAGAAAACAGAATATAAATATAAAGTATCAGAGCATTTAAATCGTCGAAAGTATCAATTATCGAAGTAATTAATATCGTTCGTTATTGTCTAATTAAATAACTTAGACAAAAATAAAAATTCCCATTTTATATACTTACATACATACATGTCGTTCTACTCTACTTAAGTGAGTCAAAAAATATATAATTAATAAATCGAATAAAAGAAAAAAAAAAATCAATATCTTTATTTATCATAAATCTATTTTGTATATATTTTAAAGAAGAAAAAAAAAATAATATTTTGTCAAATCTTTATCCTTCCTCCTCCTCCTCCTCCTCCTTCTTCTCATATAAACATTTAATATAATTTAATATAATAACATATAATAATTTTTGATACGTTCTTATGAGCTCGGTAATATTCAAGAATCGAATATATATAAACGCACATATGCATATAAAATTTCAATCGATTTTCATTGAAAATTAGAACGAGACATTTGAATTCACTAAGCAATCGAATAAAAATTTTAATTTTATATTTATTATACTACATATATATATATATATATATCCACGTTTTATAAATTGTTCTCACTATAATAAATTGTCATTGATCATGATTTTAATAGAATCCAAATGCTGATGATAAAATTATCCATCATCTTCCAAATGCATGCTATTCAGTAGAGCGAAGAAGGAGTACGATCCTTTCATTATCTAGAAACATAAATCGATTTCATTCACATTATTATCGCATTCGTATCATGATCACGATTAATGTAAAACATAATTAATAATCCAAAATAATATATACATATATATATATATATATATATATATATATATATATATATACAAATTGAGTGTCCACAATGTATTTTATAATATTTTATGATGTAAGAGAATTTATAATTAAAAAAAAAAAAGAAATGGAAAGATATTTTTCTTTATTTTTATATTATCATTAATTCATTTAATATCAATTTCATTGTTCGACATAAATATTATTAAATAAAAGTATATCAATATTGCATTGATTATTATGATTTTAAGAGAGAAAAATTATTACAATTGAAAAAGAGACACGGTATATCTTTTTATTATTTTTTATATATTATTAATTTTTTTACAACTTTTAACTTCATTATTCCATATAATGACTATTATTGATAAAATTTGATTCTTTTACCATTAAATCGAAATAATTTATATATCTATATATTATTATTGATATAATATAATTATTAAATTATATAATTCTTCCCTTTTTATTTATTTAAAATAATAAAATAACATATCGAATCATGAGAGATTTAATTTAATTTAAATCACGAGAGATTTAATTTAACTCGTGTCAGAGTTTTAGTTTGAACTATAGCTCGTTCAGTTAGTCCATTGGTTCTGATCGAATAGTGTGTCACTGATCCCAGTAGGGTCAAAGCGTGTGGATAGAAACGAAGATGCATACTTTCGATAAAGAGAAAGAAAAATCTGCAGAGTGAATTCCTTTTAAAGTTGTTCACCACCTTTCCCTTGTAGCATTTGTAATTTCAACGACAGATTATAAACAAAATATGAACTACAAGTGCAACAGAAGAAAAGTGTCATTAAATCATTATGCCTATCGTATCGGTGCATAAATTATACCCCTTTCACGCATAAACTATTAATCGACTTAATGTTGGTTAGAATATTAGTGTTAGTAGGCTGAACTTACACTTTTTAGCTTCCTATATTTACATTGACCCAGCTTGATATCTTTAATAGACATTAGAGAGTTTAGATTGGGTTATATCGTAAGTACTTTGCTCGTTTAAATATACTTTCTTTCTTTGTGATAAATTACCATCGTCATATATAATGTATAATATATTTAATTATAGTACATTTCTTCATCTTCTTTTGCTTAGTCTTCTTATCATTATTATTATTAGAGTATATTATTAATAGTAGTAACATTATTATTAGTAGTAACAGTAATGATATAAAGTGCATTAGTCCTACGGATTAAAAATACGAAAAAATAAATAAAATGGCGCTGGGTGTTCTACTTTGTGGATAATGTGAAAACGAATTCATTTATGATTTTTATTAATGTAATGTATGATATATGAATATTTCATTAATTATTATTATATTGCATTTGAAATGAATCAAAAAATTCGATTATCAATTTACGCACACAAACGAGCAGATAATCGAATTGTTCACAGAAACAATACATGTACACAATTCAAGCGTGTATATGAAAGTCAGTAGTGGGGGTAGAAGCTTCGTCTCTTTTACCACAGATTTCAAGAGGCGCCACTGTACGAAATTTATTTTCTTACGGAAATTGTCGAAAACCATGTTTATGCCAATAAATGATTCAGATAATAAATCATCATTGATTTTTATGACAAAAGATTTCATTTCAAACATGAAGATTTAAATGAGGACTCGGCTTTTTCAAATTTTTAAGAAAGCTTTGTTTTAAAAAAAAAAAAATATGGATTAAAAAGTGTTACTTTTGTTTCAGAAAAATGTATGCATATGAAAAAAGATCTTTTTTTTTAATTTTTTAATTTGAAAGAAAGTGAATTCTTTATTGGTGCAAACCATTATAAAAGCAGGTATAGTGAACAGCCTTAAAAGGGCAAAAAATACACTCATCATTTTCTACTTACAGCGATAAATGTCTCCAAAGATAATGTATAAAATTTGCCGGCTTTCAATCTCAATGGTTTTTGAGAAAACATGAAGGAGAATATTAATAAATTTGCAATACGATCGAGTGGTTGATTATGCCATTGAGAAAGCCATTGTGCTTCGACCAATGAGGAACTCTGTAAAATATATAAATAATTATTGGAATAAATCGATAAAAATAAAATTAAAAAAAAATGATACTCCAATATTTATAGTATATGCATATATTCTAATTTGATATTGTTTATGCGATTTATTTCTTTTCTTTTTTTTCTGTTTTTAGAAATTCGTAAAAAAAAATAAATATTGTACGTTATTTAAATATCGAAATAAAAATAATGGAAAATATAGAAAAATAATTCATCCTGTAGATTGAGGAACGGATATTACGTACTGTATGACAGGTTAGCATTCTGCAGGCGTTTAATTTTTTTTTCTTTTTAATATTAAAGTATTTATCTATAGGATTTCGTATATTTTTCTCAACGTCATTGTTTTAATACGATTACTTTTATTCTTATTCCTTCGAATTTTATTATTTGTTGAAATATAAAATTTGCAATATTATATTAATAATATAATAATTAAATATCTGCTAACATTTTTTTCTACTTCTTCTTTACAATTTTCATAACTTGAGCTATCTCTTTCATTTCTTTTTTGATACTTATTTTGATAATTAACAATGTATACATACACGCACACACACACACACACATATATATATATATATTAGTAAATTAAGAACTTACATGAGTTATCACTTCGTTCCCTATCCAACATATATAAAGAAGCTGACTAACTGCAGCACCTAAGTAAATTGAATATTTCCACAAATTTGAATCTTGTCCAGAGACCTATTAGAAAATTTCCCACCCCACCAGCGCCAAAAAAAAAGAAAAAATATATTTATAAAAGTACGATATGTATAAAAATTGTTAAGAATTATATAGAGTGCGGCAGAGATGTAGAAGGGACGATTATAAAAGATCGAAAAATTCTTCGAAATGTTTTATTTGAAAAAAAAAAAAAAGAAAAATAATAATAATAATAATAATAAATGTATCATTTTAATGTAGAGAAATAAAAAAAAAAAAGATATTTTATTATTTAAAGAGAACATCTTGAATGTGACCTCTGTCTCTCCACTAAGATTCCTTCAATCTTAAAAGCATTATTACTCGTATTTCATCAGACAGGAGCGTACACAATTTCTATCCGAAATGTTTAATGTAACTGCATGACTGCATTCTCTGGCGTACGTAAATGCATTTCTTTCTTCTTCTTCTTTTTTTTTCTCTTTTTTTTTTTTTTTTACTTGGAGACGTTTCTACTTTTTTTTCCAGTCCAGAACCAGTTCCTTCAAAGTTCTTAATCCATGTTTTAATGGCACGACCAGACGTCACTGGATTATTACGGTTGACGTTGAACTTGCGGCGAAATAACCGTTTAATGGCCACGATACAATCATCATTTTTATAATATATTTTAACGGCGAATACATGTTATGGATCGTTCCATTGGTTTATGTTTACTAAATCCTATGGTACTGACAACATTGCATAAGTAATCGAAATACATTCTACCCTAATTGTAATCAAGAAAATCGATTTTTATAATCGTCCCTTTCTTTGCCGCACTTCGTACAAAATAAAATCTAATAAATTTTTCAAGTAATTTTTTAAGTAATTTCTATATATATTTCTTTTTTTTTTTTTTTTTTTTTTTTAATTTTCTTGAAACTTGCTAGTGAAAACTTATCTATTATTCTAACCAATTTGAAAATTATATGTATATATATATATATATAATCAAGTTAACAAGTATCGATATATTTATCGACATTGTTTCTTCGTGAATTACCACAACAGCTTGAAATCCAGTTAGGCATATCATCGAAGTACTTGAAAACATTTGAACCAACATGCTAGAATTAAATAGATCATTCAAGTCATCGATCATGTTCACCAATCGTTGATGATGTCGAATGTATTGTTCAAAGAGTTCTTCGAACCGATTGTATCGAGGTCCTTTCTTTTGGATCATTATCGATCGATCTCTTTCGATCATATTATCATCGTTCTTATCAATAAAATGTTTGATTTCTGTTGTTGAACAATATTGAAAATTCATACTCAATATCTCTAATTGTAAGAGGATCAAATTACAAATAGATACTATTATTGTATCAATCGCTAAAATTGCAGTTACGCCAAAAAATATGCTACAAGCTTCTACAACGAAGCCAATTTCGTGTCCTGGTGATGTCTTGGTATCGAAAGGATAACGTGCTCTTATCGGTAAATTTCCACCTTCCGTCGGTGTAACAAATATCAATGCGATTACCAAAAGATAACCCAATGAACAAAAACTATAAAATGGTATTTTATCTCGCCATAGATAATATTTTAATTTTTCTGCAAAGTTGACTTCTATAAATAAAAATAAATCATGGATTAAGTTAAATTGTAAAAATCTATTTAAATTCAAATATATATATATATATATATATATATATATTTATTTATTTATTACATATATATATATATATATATATATATATATTTATTTATTACATATATATATATATATATTTATTTATTACATATATATACATAATAAATTTATATAAAATAATATATTTATATTTATATCTTTGTTATTTGTATATAATTTATATTATTCTTACACACTTATATACATATATATATATATTATAAAAAGTTATTTTATATAAATATTTTTTTCTTAAAATAAACTTTTTTTTTATATAAATTATCTTTCATACGTATATTTATTGCATACATTTCATTCATTTAATATATACAAAAATATAGTTATACTCATTTTCATGATTGTTACATAAAAATTTCAAATAATTATTTTGACATTACATATATTATTGCAATTGTAATATTTACCAGACAATTGACAAAGTTCCTCGCAAGAGTTCAACGTCTCATCGCTCAGTCGAGCAATTCTATCACGTGTGAATTGACAATTGATCACGTTAAAAAGTACTACAGTGATTCCAGCAAATATGCAACCATCGTCTGTGACTATCGATAGATCGTCAACCATCATACAAATATCAGCGAAAAGAGTTATCGTGAATATTATCATTATACTAATTGCGATTTTGTTGTAAATATAATAAACACATTTCAAGAAAGATGAAGTATTCGTATCAAGAGTCCATAAGCCAACCCATCTGTGTTATATTAATTATGATAAAAGATTTTTATATATATATATATAAGAAATATATTTATATAATTATTATTATACAAAACTTATGAAAATATTGTTATATAAATATCGTCGTATAATTCATTAAAAATAAATTAAACAAACGTATGTATATTCATAATAATCTACAAATTCTTTACGCGCGTATAATTTGCTTTATTTTTTTTTCTTTTTCTTTTCTTTTTACTCACTTGAGCATATTGATACTGAGAATTCTTAATTCATAATGTTGATTTATCCAGACATATGACGAATCCTTCTTCGACTTCGTATGCATTTTGCTTAACCACTTATGACTCGTGTATTTTTGCAAACGTCAAGAAGAAACTTTTGTTTGTCTCTAGTCGTACATTATCCTCTTACGAATTGGATATTTTTCTTGAAAATGTTAGCCTTATTAGTAGGCATTACTTACTAGCCTCTAGTATTTTCTATCTATGTCTTTTAAGATAATTGAAGATAAAAGCTGTCATAACTGCATGGATATTTTGTCTGATTATAGAGTAGACGATAGGAGCATATATCATAGGATATTTCTACCGACGGACTATGTAGCTGGCAGTACGTTCTGTGAGATTGTTGTGACTAAATCCAAATTGTTCGGTGTTGAAATAGAAAAAAAAAAAATATTAAAAATAAAAGAATAAAACAAAAAAAAAAAACAAAGAAATCATGCAGATAAATCATAATTTTGAATTTTCCTGTAAAAATGAAATTATTAGTTATAAGATGGTGACAATGAAATATCAAAATCTTTTTCAATACATTTCTAAAAGAAGGCAATGTAGGTATAACAGTGAAATAATATTACACGATTTTTTTCTTTTTATATATATATATATAAAAAATTAAACATCGATTAACATTACATATGCTATAATATCGTTTATCTCATCTTTGGATATTTACATTATACAATATTCTATCTCAAAGGTCATGTGTATATTATAATATTTATATTCTTCAAATTTCTATCTCGAGTCTTCAGCGTAAAACTAGAAATTAAATAATTATTATTAATAATATATTTATAAAATATCGTGTTAGAAAAAACAAAACAAAAACAGAAAAAAAAAAGAAAAAAGAAAAAGAGAGAAATGATTTGGCTCGATCGATAAATAGAAATCTGCAATTTTTTGATAACTCTGCAAACGATATAACGCGTCTCACATTTACAGAAATAACAAAGAAGTATTTGCATGGTATCGAGTTTCTTCGAAATTTCATTTTTACAAAAATAAAGAAAAAAAGAAAAGAAAAAAAAGAAGAAAAAAGGAAAAAAAAAAGCCTATAGTCGTATCTAACCGAAAATCTAATCAAAATTTTGTTTTAAACTCAATGGATATATCTACGGTAAGAAGAAAGAAAGAAAAGAGGAAACATTAACATTTATTAACGTTAATACACGTCGTTGTTAAGCTACAAAATAAGATAGAGATATAAAGTGGAAAAAAAAAAAAACAGAAAGGAACGAAGAAAGGAACGAAGAAAAGAAGAAGAAAAAAAAAGGCGAGAAAAAGAGAGAAGACGAAAGAAGGAAGGAAAGAAAGAAAGAAAAGAAAAGAAAAGTAAGAAAAAAAAAGAAAGAAAAAAACAATTTTTGTTATTTAGCAATAATATCACCTATAAATAATAAGTACATACAAAACATCGTGCTTCAAAGGGAGGTAGGAGAGGCGGACGAGGAGATAGAGGAAAGAAGTATAGGGGGTTTAGGAAAAGTAAACGGGGAGTATAAAAAGTGGGCGGAAATGGAGGGGGGAACAGCAGTATAAATTGCACTCCATTAATCACATTTACAAAAAAAAAAAAAAAAACTGGCACGCTTCGAATCGAAAACTTATTACATAATTAATTGTCCATCTTTCTTCGCATTTGTTCATTTTGTTCTCTTCTTGTTGATTTCCTTGTTTTCTTGCCTTTGTCTTTCTTTTTCCTTTCTTTTTTTTTTTTCTCTTCTCCATTACTATTATTATTTTTCTTTTTCTAGCAGTGCCAGTACCGACGCACAACTATGACGTTATATAATCGTCATCTAATCCTCTTGTTCATCGACACATTGGAAGTTTTTCGTTTCGTTAGAAAGACGATGATTTTGAATCTAACATATTCCATCATACTTCCAAAAGTATGAATTTAACCGATTAGTTAAATATCTCGGTTGATATATATATATATATATATATATATATATATATCATCTATATTTACAAAAAAATTACACGTGCTCCTTAATCACATTATATCGTCGTTTTTCTTCTGATATCTGTATGAAGAAAAGAGAGAGAAAAAAAAAAGAAAAAAAAATACCCATATACATAATACCATGAAACAATACATTCAAACATCATCAACACACGTTCATTTGATAATTTCGAACGAATTCTATACACTTTGTTATTAATATCATCGACGTTTCTCATCGTGCAGTCTTTATAGATCAGAAATTCATCATTTCTTATAATCAGATATGTACGACGAATAAAATGTTTCGAAAAATGTTTTATAGTCCTTCGTCTTCGTTTTTTGGATTCGTTTTTAAAAGTGAAAACGAAAAACAAAAAAAAAAAAAAAAAGAAAAAGAAAGAACTTTTGGAAACTTCAGCCTATAAATTGCGAAAGATCGGGTAATTTGAAACCGTTGAATGTAAATGGCGTTGGTAAACTCCTGAGATTATTTCTGACAGGTCCGAAACTAGGAAAACTGCTAGGCGTTGTAAATTGCGGAATATTTCTCGAAGACGTTTCGGCGGCAGCTAAAATGAAACCGCATTGTGCCGTACATACGTCGTCTCTTAAGATTGCCTCGCGGGATGCTTCGCGTAACAGTTGATTACAATCGGTAACTCGTAGAGATGCGCATTGTGTCTGAAAACAAAAAATATAAAATATAAATATGCATTCAATAATAATTCCAATTAATATATTTAATGATTCGATCGATTAAATCGAAGTTTAATAAATCTATTAAATAAGATTGATGTTTTTTTATCAACTTATTCACTTATTCGTATTATCCAATTTCGTACAAACAAGAACAACAAAAAAAAAGAAAAAAAAGAAAAAAAAAAGAAAAGACAAAATCATTAATCCACGTTTCTATAAATAACACCACTTACACCTTCCATCGTACAAACGCAACTGGTACAAGGAGTAGGAAAACCAGAGTCACCAATAGCAACGTTCCTTCCACCTATTTGACACCCATGTCTTGTTTCTCGCCATGCAGAGAAATCCATATGCGGCATCGAGCTGCAGGGTACTCTGGGATTCAAGAAATTACTTGGCAAATCGAATGCTGCTCTTTGCATTTCTACGTGTTCGTCCATGTTCTCACACATGACCTTTGACAATGTCGTCTTACGAATTTCTGCCAGTTGATGTTCGGTAAATCGAATATTTGGATCATCGGTTTCATACCAGAAACGATCGCATTTCCTTAATTGCCTGAATTGTATTGCTATTATGCAAGCAAATGTTGGACCTACAAGACCTCCTTGAAGTGGCCTTTCACTCATTCCACCAGGGAATAAATCAATGTCATCGACAGAAGCATAAATTCGTTTCATTCGTGCTATTACTTCCGGTGCCATCTCCCTTGACAGATCTTCAAAGGTTGTAGCTTTTTTTAAATTACAAAGTGCTCTGTATTGATTGTAAGACGGTATACCATGATCTCTAGCCCGATGAACATTAAGAGCAATCAAATCTACACCAGAATGTGGTATTCGACGATTTTCAAACAAATGATTGGTCACTTCCCCGGTTATAAATTGATCAAGAGTTTCCATAGGAGTTGCAACCAATCCACGTGTCATTTCATCAATCATACCTGATTGATAAAGCATATCAGGATTGAAGAATCCATCACGTAAAAGTATTGGAGGATCAACGTTCTGATAACTACGATCCATTCGTGGCAAATGTGGTCTTAATAAGGAATGACCTATTCTAAAAGCAGCAGTTGCAAATTCGTTCAAAACACTTGGATTACAAGTTGGCGAATACTCTTTGTAATAACCTTGCGGAAGTAATTTCAAGCCGTAGAGACTAACGGCATTCCATCCTAAAATTCTTGGTAAGAATTCATTGTAAGTTAAATGTTGAAGCATAGCGCTGATAATACGTCGCGACTGTTGATACAATTTTTCACCGTCCCAATGTGAATTGATTTGTCTCAATCCCTCCATTATTCTGTTGTGTTCTCGTATCCACATAGTATGCATAACAGTTAAAGCAGGTTGTTCGGATGCTCTACCATCACCACCGATAAAACAATAAGTTGATCTTGCCTTGCATTCTGGATGCGTAGCCGATTGTGGTAATAAATCCTTACCACGATTAGTATTTGTTGTTATATTCATACGGCCATTAAAACCACGTAAAATGTTTGCTATGCAATTGTTCTCGCCATACACAACCGAGCCATCTAAGTAAGCTGTGTTTTGATTCACCTGTTCTCTAGGACCTAAATGTTGTTGACCGGGTAATGACCTCATCGATGGAAAACACATTCGTGCGCCAGACGTGACATTTACCGTTGGATAAAAATGATCACCCGGTGGTACAGGGAACGGATTACATTCCGCGTGAACCGTTTGCGGAGAATCACATGATCTACAACTTGGTATAGACTCTGCGAAACCTTTGTGAATCGGTGTCATAGTTAAATCGTGATCAAGAAACTGAGCAAACTGCATAACCATTAGAGTATATCTGTTATGAAGGTTTGAGATATCTGGATGAATCACTGTTGATACTACTCTTGGATTAGGTAAGGTAACACCTGTTACAGATCTACTTCTTGGCTTGGATACACCGTCTTCGTAGACCGGTGGTAACAATCTAGCGAATGTGGTCAAGGATTGACCTAGATTTGGATTACGAAGATTGTTACAGTGTCCTGACAATGTTCTGTATGGTGTGGTTGGATCACAAGGATTATTATCAACCGGACATTCTACTTCCTCGTGATTCGTGGCCTTTTGCTGTGGTAAAAATCCAGAAATGTCAACGTTTTGAAGTATATCGGAGAAATCATTATTTGGAAACCCAAGAACGTTGTCTGTCGTATCAAAGATCTGTCGTTTTTTACGTCTAAGTCCATGTACTCCATTTAATATCTCATTTGTTGCTAACTCATACATAATCGATGAGTTAGCTAATAACAAAGCGTCTTTGTTTGCTTTAGAAAAACTTGCAGCTGTACCAGCCGGTGATTTCGGATCAGCTATTCTTTGTTCCAACCAAGCATTGTATTCCAATTGTCTTCTTTCGATAAGATCTTGTTCAGCTTTTTTCACCGCCATTGCTATTAAATCCGGACTAATTTCAAAAGATAAATCAGGAACTGATTGAGTCGTTGTCATGTAATTATCTATAACAGGAACAGGTAAAGGTTCGTCTCTCCAAGCTGACAGATCCAATATCTCATACTGATTGCACTTAATTTTAGCATTTAGATAAGGATCTTGTTGTATGAATGCTTTAGGTTGTATCTTACGGATTTCACTGTTCGCACAGAGAAGTCCAGCGAGCGAAACTTTACGAATCTCTGCCAATTGTGCCGACGTTAAACCCGACGGTGGAATATCGTTTTCATACCAGAATCTGTCCGAATATCTCATATTAACAAATTGTTTCTTGAGAAGACAAGAGAACGTTGGGCCTACCGCCATTCCTTTCATTGGTATCTCTAATATTCCTCCAACCAAAAGATCCACGTCTTCTATCCTGATATAAATAGACTCCAATAGTTTAACATTCTCCTGTTGTATAACTCGTTCGAGATCTTTGAAATTTTTAGGCTGTAAATATGAAAGAATAAACTCAAAAAAAAAAAAGACAAACAAAAAAAGAAAAAAAATATTGTTAAATAATACCAAGATAATTCCAATTAGGAAAGAAAAAATAAAGGAACTATACCTTACTGAGATTACCCGAACAGTATTCTACAAATTCAATATATCCAGGTACACCATGATCACGTGCAATATGAACAGATCTAGCAGCGGCGTCAAAGTTCGAATCGATCATAGAAATTCCAAGATTAAAACTAACATGATTAGCCAACTTAGTGACGTGATCTTCAAGACACATGCTTGAAGAACACGTATTCTGTTTGCGTAAAGAGGTCAAAATACGCAATGCGGCTAAAGCAACGGCGTCGTAAGTTCCTGCTTTGTTCGTTGACGAGTAACCATTAAAGAATCCATTGGTGGCCGGTCTTAACTCAGGATCGATCAAAGCTAACTCGCCTAAAATACTAGGTACGTATTCGTTTAACGTAATATGTTGTATTTGTGCTATTAACGCACGTCTTGCCTCGAGAAATAATTTCGTGTCATCCCAATGCTCATTCATTTCCCATAATCTTTCAGCTATTCGATTATGTTCGTTCAACAAAGTTATGTAAAGATGTCCTAACGGGCTTGTATTCGTGTCGTTGCAAATCTCACAGGCTGATGGTTCCACCTTACCACGAACGTAACTCCTAACTTTGTGTAATTTATCATCGTTGCTTCCATAGATATTCGAACCGTCCAAATAACTGGACTCACTGTTCATTTGTTTTCTACCATCAAATTTGCATTCGTCAATCGACAATGTCGGCACCGATCTCATGTAACTAATACATCTTTCTCCATTTTGATCATTGATCTCATAACACTCTGGATGTCGATCTTTGACCGAACAACAACGATGTTCGTCACGATCAACATGAATGGTCGAGGATATATCCTGAAGTATCAATTCAGACCATAAACCAGCAAAACTGGTCAATGCTTCGTGGGGTTCGTCAAATTTCAACGAACTTTTAATACCCTCGACCGTTTCCGTAGCTGATGGAAGACTATGACTGCTAAATGATTGTCGTGGACTTCCAATACCTAGAAAAAAAAAAACAAAACAACGACAAGTCATGACGCTTTCACTTTTATACGGTGAAAAATGAGAAACGATTAGAAAG